AGAGTGTGCACTTCAGGCTCGGTTTGAAGGCTGCTGTGTGTGCTGTACACAAGGTGTAATTCTTTGACGTATATGGGAATATGAAATCCATAATATGAAGAAAGTTGGTTGGTTGTTTTTTTTTTTGTTAAGTCAATAGGGAAGTGGTGATCAAGTAGGCAAACAGTGGAGATGAAGGATGATGGCTGAGCAGTTGCTTTTCTGGGGCTTGTGCTCTGAGATTGATTTACAGAGCTGTTGGGCCTTTAACAGAGGTCAGAGCTTCATGACAAGCTTGGTCTAAATTGCTTTGTTAAATCTGGAGGGGATGTGGTTGAAAAAAGCAAGGTCCTTACATTTGGTCTTTCACAGTGAAGTACTGCTTCTTAGTTCATGTTTATTTGTAAATATTCTTCAAACACATTTATTGGTGTGCCTAGGACATGTTGAACACTGATCAGTATGAATTGCCTGAGTGACCTTACCTGTGTGTGCTGTGTAGGAATAAAATTATCTGTCTACTTTACAAGGTGCTCTTTAGCATCTTAATAAAGGTACTGTGTGTTTAAAAAAACCCAAACACAACGAAATAAAAATTACCATGTTTGTAATAAGCTGGGTGATCTGAATTATTGCTCTTTTGCCTTTACTGTCTGTGCAAGATGACTGTATTCAGTCAATTTAAATGTGTTGTCATCTCTCTTGCAAATTTTATTTAAAACAAGCATATCGGAAATGCTTTATGAAGAAATGTGATCATGAAGAAATGTTCATTCTTTCTCTTTTTACAGATGATTCAGCAGCATCAGGAGTGGCTAGAGGACTTGGTTATTAGACTTCTTTGTGTGTTTGCATTAGACAGATTTGGAGACTTTGTTTCAGATGAAGTAAGTTGTCTCTGAACAGGTAGATTAGCAGGCTTCTGCAGGAGATAATACTGCAGCACGTCAGCTATGCTTTGTACACTGCTACTGCATGTGCATGTTGTAACTGCTCACAGATGCTTACTACAAAGTAGCTAAATTTCGTCTTTTTTTTGTTGCAGTTTTGGTCATCTTACTCATACTGTTTTCTTTCTAAGTCAAATATCATACAAAAGTATCTGTTTTGTCATTTACTTTATCTTAGGTGGTAGCACCTGTTCGTGAGACTTGTGCTCAGACTTTGGGAGTAGTATTGAAACATATGAATGAGACTGGAGTTCATAAAACTGTGGATGTTCTCCTGAAGCTGCTTACACAGGAACAGTGGGAAGTGAGACATGGTGGTCTCCTAGGAATAAAGTACGCTTTGGCAGTGCGTCAGGTAATAACCCTCATGACGAATTGCTGGGCCCTGTGGAGCACAAAGCTCTGCTCCAAGTAGAGTACGTGGCTGAACATTGGATGGGTATGGTAAAGCAAACTTGCTTGCAGTGCAGTCTCATGGGTTGTGTGGCTGTGCTTTTTATATGTAGGCTGCAGAAAACTGCAAGTACGCAGCAAAGTTTTGCTGTTGTAACTTGGTAGGTTACTTGCAGAAAACATTATAAACAGAAGTTGTGCTTGTCTAGTGGTTTTGATGGTACTTTTATGTGCAAGGTTAACAGAGCTGAGTGCTACTAGATGTTTAGTCTGTTTGTAATAGTATTCTGCAAACACTGATTTTATGGTACACCAAAACAGAGCCAAGTGACAGTTCAGTCAAATTTATAACCTAGGTTTTACTTCATGAGTGGTAACTTAGAAAATTTAGATTGTAGTCTTGGACCTGTAGCTTCTGTTTTGTATAACATACCTTTTTTCACACACTTAGAGTACATCTTAGTAGTTCGGAATATTATATGCTTTTTAAGTTTTAAAATGCCTTTTTTTTTTTTTTTTTGGCAGGACATGATCAACACTTTATTGCCTAAGGTGTTACCTGCGATAATTGAAGGTCTCCAGGATCTGGATGATGATGTCCGAGCTGTTGCTGCTGCATCTTTAGTACCAGTAGTGGAAAGCCTGGTCCAACTTCAGTCTCAGAAGGTGACTGAGTTGTTTTCCATCAGTTTTAATTGAGAAGTCCACTTTTGGTCTGAGTGAAGACAATGAACTTAAAGGCAGCACTTGGATTTTCTTTTTTTTAAAATGACAATATATTCTCTTGATTTGTGTAGGTGCCTTTTATTCTGAATACCTTATGGGATGCACTTCTGGAGTTGGATGACTTGACAGCTTCCACAAACAGTATCATGATCCTTCTTTCTTCCCTTCTGACTTATCCTCAGGTCCGCAAATGCAGGTAACTTTTTAATTAGTATTTCTTCTGTATTGCAGGTTTGACTGTTCAGTTATTTTCAAACTGGAATAATTAAAGTTGCTTTCGAATCATGTGTCAGGGTGATGCTTGATTTAAATCAGTATTTTAATTTTACTCTTGCTTTTCCTTAAAGTGAAGGTTAGGACAGTGCTTCTATTTTCATTACATAAGTAAAAGGCAACAAAGTAATTAAAAGGTACTATGTGAGTTTTCCGCCCACCATTCATTTGGGTATTTCAGTAAAGAGTATTGGCTCCACTCATATGGAAGTCTTGCCCACAGAATTGTTTGTTCCTTGTTTGCAAACTCCAAACAAGGGAGCAAACTATTTACATTAAAACACACATATGTACCTGTATCTCTACTTGATAGAAGTTTATACATACCATCTTTCTCATCCCACACGATTGTCACTGCTGAGCCTATTTTTGCCCAAATTCAAAATCAAGTATGAAGTTTTGTAACTAATGCAGTCTTTAATTCATCATGTACTATTTCTATCAGTTAATGTGGGAGTTCATGCGCAGAAGATCCAAGCTGGTTTAATTATTTCTAAGCTCCTAAATGCCTACTAACAGATTTTTTTTCCTAAAGGTTTGAACAAAGCCTAAAGAAACAGCACAATAAAAATGTGCTTGAATCAACTAGTTCTATATGTCAGTAAGAAAAAATGGTATTTTCCTGAAAAAAGCTATTGACTCCAGCTACTTTAAAAGTTTAAGCTGAAGTACCTTAATTCTTCATGTAAAATCACCAAGCACGTGCAGTAATACCTTTCGTTCTCTAAAAGGCTTTCTTTTGGGTAAAAATTAATATCTGAAGATAAACAAAATTAACTTAGCTCTGTGTTTGTAGATGTGTTTGTGTGTGTGTTTTATTTTTCCCTCTCTCCTGTCTCTAAATCTCCTCTTCATATTCCCAGTATTCAGCAATCACTCACAGTTTTGGTCCCACGTGTGTGGCCGTTCTTGCATCATACTATATCTTCTGTGCGAAAAGCAGCACTGGAAACATTATTCACACTGCTCTCTACCCAAGACCAGGTAAGAATTTGAGTTGCTGGTGATTTACTGTGGTACATATTGGAATCTGTTTGATCATATGCTGTCCTTTTTTCAGAGCTCTTCAACGTGGCTGACTCCAATTCTGCAAGACATGTTGAGACACATATTTCAGTTTTGTATCTTAGAAAGCAACCAAGAAATTCTGGATCTTATTCACAAGGTATTTGCATGGCTTGTAACCTAGTCATATAGTGTTTGTGTATCCAGCTCTTTCATATCCTCTCCACTTCTGTACAGAGTAGTGTGTTCATCTTATGTGATGCTTTACTATACAGTGAAGGAGAACAGGATGGCTTCTGCAGTTTATAAGCACGTCTATGATCTTACGTAAACCACATACAAATTTGTTATTATTTTCACTGTGGTTCTTTCCCAAGGTATGGCTGGAACTGTTAAACAAGGCATCTGTACAGTATGTGGTTGCAGCTGCTTGTCCATGGATGGGAGCCTGGCTCTGCTTAATGATGCAGCCATCTCATTTGCCTATTGACTTAAACATGTTGCTAGAAGTAAAAACCAGATCAAAAGTAAGTGAAATGTGTCCTTGCTGACTATGAGAGAAAATAGAAACTTCATTAGCTGTATATAAAGACACATTCTAAAGATGTTAGAGGCTAGTGGTGGTGCCTTTCTACAACTTTAAATCTAACCTATCTTACAAACTTCTAATCTGTAGAGCAAAATAGTTATCAGGTTATCTATGAGAATTCAAGTTCTGTCACTTAGTATGCTCCTTGTGAATACTTGAGAAAGTCTTCACGTCATTCTATAACCATCATGGTTTCAAAAACATCTGTTTGCAGGACTGAGTTAAATCTAAAAGCATTGTGTTATTTCTGAAAAAGTGTAGAGAGAGGTTTCCTCTTACCTCTGTGCAGACTTAGTTTATCAGCTACATGTTGAGTATTAGTTTAAATATTATAGCAAAGGATCTATACCTTAGATTTAGTGGGAATGCAGAATATTATTAGTGGAGAGGTGATTTGCAATGATTAACTAGCAGTCTGTTATCCAACGAATGTTCTGGCCAGGTCCAACTTTTATAAGGTATGATGGTTATTGGAAATGTTGTGGAATATGAATTAATCTTTTCTATTACAAACACACCTACTTTCAATCTGTCCCACCTTTATTCCACAGGAAAAGGCAGGTGCTAAACTGCGTCAAGGTCAAACCCAGAATAAGGAAGTGATTCAGGAATACATTGCTGGGGCAGACAGCATTGCAGAAGATCCAGCAACCAGAGATTATGTTGTCATGCGAGCTCGGATGATGGCAGCAAAGTCAGTTCACTGGAAATCTGAAAAATATTTAAAAGCAGTTTTTCTTATTATATAGTGTTTTTGCCAAAATATACTTTTCTCATCTTCATTTTGAATAATTAATTGCAGAGTAATTAATTGCTAATTGTAACATTGAAGTGACTGTTCTTTCTCCTTTTGTCAGGTTGCTGGGAGCACTTTGTTGCTGCATTTGTGACCCAGGTGTAAATACTGTTACTCAAGAAATAAAGCCAGCAGAATCATTAGCTCAGCTACTGCTCTTCCACTTGAATTCAAAATCTGCCTTGCAGAGGATTAGTGTTGCATTAGTAATCTGTGAGTGGGCAGCCTTGCAAAAGGTAGGATGTTTCTGCAGCAAAAATAAATTCTACTTACTATCTTAATCCACAGCTTGTTGCCTGCTTCTTAGCTTGAAATAAAATTTCAGTTGATAAGCTAGAATGGTATTTATACATCTAAATACTAAAATCTTGATTGTTAGACAATGGAGGAATACATTACTCAGTAGCTAAATGCCAACTGTCAGAAATATGAATCAGTAAATATGTTCACATTTCCTCTGCAATTGAGTCACTTCTCAACATGCATGTTATCTAAGGTCAGTGCTTCGTTTTAACATCACTGTTGTCCCTGTATTCACTATCACTTCTGTTCTAGTGGCAGACTGAAGGTTTTGTACATAATCTTCTAATGTTCTGGTTTGCAAATGTTAATGTTCCCTCTGGAAATAGGATTTTTATAGCTAGATTGTGCTGTTTAGAGCCTAAAGCCAAACCAAAGAAACTGCGATTACTCAGAAATACAGATTATGTCTTTTCCTGTTATAGGAGTGTAGAACTGTGGCCATTTGTGTGCAACCTCGTCTACTTGGGGTCCTTTCTGAACATCTCTATTACGATGAAATTGCTGTTCCTTTTACACGGATGCAGAATGAATGTAAACAACTCATCTCCTTGTTAGCTGATGCACACATTGACATTGGAAACAGAGTAAACTGCAGTGTATTTACAATAGATCAAGCTAATGAGCTGGTAAGTAGGGGCATGCCTGCCCTTCCTTCAAATCTGTTCTTGTCTTGTGATAGATATTCAGCATTATTATTAGACAGACAGTAACTTTCAGACATAATGTGGTGATTTCATGCATTCTTTGACATAAGATATGTGATAGATACTTACACTTCCCCTGCACTGTTTGCAGACTATGCCAAAAATTGAGTAGAATGCAAGGCAGATAATTAAGGAAAAAAATTGTCAGTATCCCGATTCCAGATGTAGATTCACTACTGATATCTACATGGAAGAAAACAGACATGCTGGAACTTCTCCTACTGTCAAAAGACTAGTAAATAAACTGTGCAAATTGTGGACTTTCTCCCTCTTGCCCTACCAAGAATGTGGTTTGAAGTGGGTTTTTTCCTGGCTGTTCAATTGTTTTGTATTTTTTAATCTGCAAACATCAGTGTTAGATGTGCTAATAAAAGGTAGCCTTTGATGTTAAAAGCTCTGTAAGCAAAAATAGAGTTGATAATGTTGGGGTGAAAAATTGAAAGGTTTTTCTTGCAAAGCCAAACTGGTTGCTTAAGCAGAGACAAAGATGAGAATGGACAGATTAGGTAGCATGTAAATGAAAAGCTTGTGGGTTTGAGAGCCTGCAAAATAAAAGGGGACTGGGGCAGGGAGGGCTATGTAGATTTAGGGGCAAGAAGGATTGGTGATGGCCGTGGTGCAGTTTGGGGTGTAGAAGGAGGAGGGTTAGGATCCTGGATATGTTTGTTTATGCAACTAGGATGCTGAGGATAACACTAAGAGAAGATTTGCATTTGTGCAGTTACGGCTGTGATGACTGTAGTATGCTGGATCTTGAAATTCTCAGATGGCTGTATTTATGTAGTAATATGCAGTATCTTAACTAGGAAATCTTAATATAGCTTTATAGATAATTGTCAAAATCCCCTCAAGCCCATTTACACAGCCAGTCTGATTATGACAACCATCTAGAATGAATAAATACCCAAAGTAAAGCCAGACGGAATCACCTAAGCTCATAGTCTGTGAAGTATTGGAAATTTCATGTGCTTTAGCTGTTTACTTTTCAGTCCATTAATGGGGCTGCCTGGCCAAAGCATGTTTTTTTCAAAAGATATCCCTTCTGGATTAGAAGACTCATAATTATTTGCTATTTCCTGTGGCTGTCTCCTGCATCCTATCCAACTCTTCAAACTTTCTTGAAATACAGACACCAAACTTATTGTGCCTGGTAGTATGGGTCTTCATGCATTAGATGATGAAAAAATCCTGTGATCTTCCTTGCTATTTTTATTTTTGCATCCTTTGGTGAGTCCAGTGATTAAGGTCATGTGGAGTAGAGCTTAAGGTATTGTTAGGGGTTTGTGTCTGGCAGGGGTTTGGTAGTGGAGAGGCTACAGAGGTGGCTCTTATGCAATGCTTTTGGGGCCTCCCTTAGCTACAAGTCAGACCTGCCTCTGGCCAAGACCAAGGCAATCAGTGCCTCTCTGATAAACATATTTAAGAGGGGGAAATAAAAAATCTCTTAGGTAAATTCCTTTGTGTTGGGGAGTTCTTTGTTTTGGAGAGGAGGGGGATACAAGAGGAGCAACCATGCAGACACCAAGGTTAGTGAAGGAGAGGGGGAAGTGTGGTGGAACAGAGATTTTGCTGCAGCCCAGGGTGAGATGGCAGGCTGACTCCTTGCAGCCTGAGGAGGTTAACAGTGGAGCAGAATCCTGTCTGCAGCCCATGGAGAACTGCACACCTGAGCAGGGTGCTGTGTCTTAAGAGTGCCATGACCTGGGGGGAAGCCTGCGCTGGAGCAATCTGTCCCTGGGAGGATTGCACCCTCTGCAAGGGACCTGCATTGGAGCAGCTTGTCAGGAGTTGCAACCTCATGGGAAGAACTTGTGTTGGAGAAGTCTGTGGAGCACAGTCTGCTCTGAGAGGGATGCCACACTGGAGCAGGGGAAGAACGTGAGGACTCCACTCCCTGAGGAGGAAGGAGTGGCAGAGACAACTGAATTGACCACAACCTCAGTCCTGTGCCCCTCCATGCTGTGGGAGGGAAGGAGATAAAGAAATCTGCAGCAGAGCTGAGCCCAGGAAGAAGGGGAGAGGTAGTGGAAGATATTTTTCAGATGTCCTTGTATTTTTCTCACTGTCTTGCTCTGCTCTAATTAGTAAATTTTTAGTGGTTTTGTTGTTAAAATCTAGTGGTTTTTCCCTGAACCACTTCCCTGAAGTCTCTGGCTTTTGCCTGTGACTCTTTAAGTGGTGAGCCTTCCCTGTTCTTAGTCTCAACCCTGAAGCCTTTTGTTTATATTTTTCCTCTTCCCCATTCCCAAAAAGGAGGGGAGCAGAAGTGAGTGAGCAGCTTTGTGGTTCTTTGTTGGTGGCTGGGTGGGCTCAAACCACAGGTATCTATAGAATGAAGCAGTACAAGTCTGATAGTTAACAGGCTTAACTTGAACATGTAGAAGTAAAAGGCAAAAACCCAAGAAAATCCCACTAAACCCTCAGACTAACCCTCTCAACAGCTGTAATCTTTCCTATATTTGGGAGCCTAACTATATCCTATCAGAATGAGCCCAGCATTTCCATGATTCCACAGTACTTTTAATCTGTTTCCTGTGAAAGATTTAAGCAATAGTAGTCATCCAGTTGTGAGCAGGGGAGGATATGCCAAGTCCTGTAACTACTGTGTTGTGCTGACTTTTTTTCCTTAGATTTTTATCACAGTCTGTTTCCTCAAAAGAAAATCAGCTTAGAAACAACTTCATCATCACAGGACCTTGCACATCCTTTCTGGCTTCTTGTATTAGTAGGGTATTCTTTGCTTATCTGTCACTTGCTTACGTATTGCCAAACTATCTGGATGTATCTGGCAGATACAGAACAGTCCAAATTTGGAGGAGTATTTAAACTCCACTTTTAGCTTTGGGAGTCTAGACTTGAAATGTTCATAATATGCCTGTTTCTCCCCTCGAGCTGCAGTGCAAGATTCCAGAAACTACTTTTCTGAGCATTTCCTATTTGTTGGAAAAATGGACATGATAATACTTGAAGTGACTTGTTCTGCCGTGAAAACCATAGTTTTCAGAGGATATCCTGTTTTATGGTAAATGAAACAGATTTGTAACTTTTTTTTTAATTAGGTTACTTCTATTTTCAATGAAGTGACATCAGCCTTTACTTTGAATCCTAAAATTCTACAACAGCTGGACAGTAAACGACAGCAAGTCCAAATGACTGTTACGGAAACAAATCAAGAATGGCAAGTGTTGCATCTGCGAGTCCATACATTTGCAGCATGTGCAGTTGTGAACTTGCAGCAACTTCCAGAAAAACTAAATCCTGTTATAAAGCCCTTAATGGAAGCTATCAAAAAAGAGGAGAATACACTTGTACAAAACTATGTGGCTTCGTGTATAGCAAAGTTACTTCAGCAGTGTACAACAAGGTCTCCGTGTCCCAACTCAAAGATAATAAAAAATCTCTGCAACTCCCTCTGTGTGGATCCACATCTTACACCACTGGCAGCATGTCCTGCACAGCCTCAGAGTAGCCATGAAAACTCAAAAGGTATGATTCCAAAGACTGACGGGTTTCTTAAAATATGTTTGCGCTCTCTCTTGTCAAAATCTGTATTTGAGTGAGTCTTTGTTTTTTCAGTGTTTTGAAGATGCCAGCAGCTGAGTGTTCATTTATTAGTAACTATTTCATTTAAGTACCTTCAACTACATACTGTGTGCAACTAATTAATGTGTATAGGTCAGAAAATTTATGTATAGAATACCTTAGTTCCAATTTTCAGTTATTTACTGTTGTTCAGTTATCCACTTTTGATCACGTTTCCTTTACACATTTACAGCTTTTGATTGAAATTGAATAAGTATGGAGATTAGAGTAGCCTATTAGAAGTCTGTTTTATGTTACATTCTGTAAGCTAATAATGAGATAACAAAAGCTGAGGACAGTGTTCAAAATGAAGAAATAATCTGGTGCATGCTACGGTCATGGATTTTCTTTGAATGACCATTCCTTGTTAAAAACATGGATTGAACAGCACCATAAATTAAGGCAGATTAGGACCTTAATACTCTCCAAGATTCTAACTTGCTCTAAGGTTTGACCGTTATACATTTTACTTTTTCTTAGCAAATGCATCCTTCATTTCAGAGTAGAAAAACATTCATATCTGATTGAAAATTAAGATGATTAGCATAAATAGAAACATGAAATCCAAAGATACTGATAGCAGCTGCTATTGTATCATGTAAGTCTTGAATTGTAAAGGTCACAAATATGAATTTGTTTAAACTTCAGAACATAATGTTTTTTTAAAAAACTTGTGCAAACACTTTATATTTGACTGAAATTTCATTACATGTTTCTTACTGAATAAGAATTTGTGATAATTTATGTGCTTAGACTTTCATGCTAAGTTTGTAATGTGCTCTTAACAGAATAACACTACTCTGTATTTAAATTTTTCCATCCTTGAAGGATGATGACATGGTTGTTTTGGTGGTGTTTGTTTGGTTTTCTTAAAGCATGTTGAGGTCTGCAAATGTCTTGTAGATAGCTATCGCTTCCACCTGTGT